GAACCGTCACGACACCTATCTGGTCGCATTTCCCTGTGTTCATCTCGATCGTTTCGCTGCCTGCTATCACAACATTCTTTCTCAAACCAGTCGTCGCACTGAGCCACTTGCGGATGTCGTTACTGATGATTTTTTCCGCTGCCCCCTCGATAACATACATGTGATAGCTAATAACCGTTTTCCCAATTCTCACTCGCAATCGCTTAGCCCGTCACCTTCAATCGTTGTCCTTCGACCGTTTGCATCGCGACTGATGACTGAGCTAACATGACACCGTCGAGCATTTTGTAACCCGCTACCGCGTCTACTATCGCACTGCTCATGACAGTTTCAATTGTTATCTCAAGGGAGGGTACACGCCACCGACCAGACATAGATAACGAGAAACAATGATAAAATTTCTGTTTGTACAATCTGCAGCATGATGACCAACCTGGTTGTATCGAAAGCAGCGGCGCCCATCCCGTCTTCCGGACTCATCGCGTTATGTCTTCGTTCTTGATTTTTCGCTCAACATCCGTTCCACCATCCGCGATACCTGGTCTGCTCTGCGTTCCAGCTCTGATTGCTTTATTCTTCCCATCGTCACAGTCTCCGAAAACCTTTGGGCCACAACCACAAACTCTTCTGCCTTGCTGACCCCAACCATGGATGCAAATTTCACCTTGTCCTGTATGGGTTTGGACGAATTGGCCGCTCAGCAGCCGTTCTCTCGCGTCGCCATCCAACTCCAGAAGAGCAATTTTTAAGTGTCTGTTCAGCCTCTGAAAGAACACCACCAGATCTTCTTGCTCCTCCCATTTCGCTGAGTGAAATTGTTCCAGCGCGTGTTGTCGGTCGATCTCCTTCCCGAACTCCGCACACAGGGGCCGCCTTCATCTCAGCAAATTAGCGGCCAGCCTAGACTTTTCGCCTTAGTAGATAAGTCGCCTTCGCTGTTCCCGTCAGCCGCGTGCCAAAGGCGGTCAGTAAGTTGACGTCTCCGTTACACGCCACAATCGCCTCAAACTCCTCTAACCAAGTTTCCACATCTTCTGCAAACGGCGCTGGCCAGGTCAGCTTCCTTCTGATTGGTCACAGCACCAGTGTAACGAGAACGACGCTGCAATAAAGTACAGTCTTTATTGGAGCGATCACAGGTTATATCACCACTCACGCAGGCGTACATGTGAGTTGAAACTAGAAGGTAAAAGCCTAGCAAAGCAAGACGGGAGGCCAATAATTGGGGGGTTGAAAACAGTGGAGGTACATACGTTCGACCACCGGTGCCTTCGTAATTTACCTCACATCTGGTGGGAACGCCGCGTGAACAACGAGCGTGTTCGATGCCTTGTTTACGGCACAGGAAAAGGAAATGAACCGCGCAGCACTGTTATTTCATGCATCAGACTCCGATGACTCGGCCGCGTGTTACGCATGCCAGTCCACCGGCTCCCGCGACATGCGTTGTTTGCGCGCCGGGGGTGTAGATGGAAGAAGAGGAGAGGTGGCCAAGCGATGACTTCGTTGAAAGGAATGAAGGCCCTTACTTTGAAGCTGGCCTCAGTTGGAGCGTCTCGGCTCCCTGGTTGGAGTCCGAAAGACGATGACCACGTTTGACTGGATACACTTGCTGATATGGCTAGGAGCCGACCTCAGTGGCGTTCGTGCTGTGAGTTTCTTTGTCCCACCCCATCCCCCTTAGCCTCCCCTTCCAACCACGATCTCATTATTTAGCATATTATAATTTTGCGCAGTAAATTATTTTTTCTGCTACATAGGAGCCGGCAGGTAGCTTACCTGAACCATACCCATCCGTTATCGGTAGCTCAGTTGGCTTTCACCTATTGCCTTTTATTCCCTTTTTTCTTTTAGGTATCATGGCACAGTAGCTGAGGTGTCTCCCACCTCTGTCTAACGTGTATAGTGTGTGTGTGTGTGTGTGTGTAGGCGTACATTAATGAGTCACGATTTCTTCCCACGACGCACCATCTCTCCTGGCTTCCGCTCGCAGCATGTCCATGCACTTTGGGACCTCTTGATGAAGTATTCTCTGCCCATTTCACCCCCGTATCTCCGCTTCCACGTGTCCCATTCTGACCAGCCCGTAGTCGTTCGCTTGCTCGTGATTTTCTTGAACGTGGATGCATCAGTCTGTTTGGGGTTGGTCCGGGAAGCTGCAATAACGGCGGTTTTGTTTTAATTATTGCGTTCTCAACAAATACCCTCCTCGTTCTGCCTGGCTCAGGCTCACTACCGGACTCCGCTCGTTTTCGTCTCGGTCCGTCAGGCCAGTGGTGTTCCGTCTTCCCCCCCTCCTCTTTGCGTCTGTTCCTCTTACTGTCCACCCCCGTTTTAATGGTCTTTCTGTCCTCCGGACATTTACTGGATTCCGCCTCCCTACAATATGTTACCTTTTGTTACACAGAAGGATGTTTGCCGACTTCTTGCTTCGTGGTCTCTTTCCCTTGAAATTTGCCTCAAGATTGTTTGGCGCTGGCGTGAAACACGTTTAAACCGACTTAATGGTTTCGTCTCTTTTACCTGTTTTGATGAAATTGGCTTTAAGACAAATGAACTTACGGGGCCCTTGTATTTGGTAATACTTCATGATCGCGACTGTGTCGCAGTCTGTACATATGCGCCTCAAAACGACCCCTCCAGTTCTTCCAGTTTCTCCAGGTCGTTCCCAATCAGGTCCTTTTTTCTTTCCAATGTGGTCGCTTAGTGTCACCATTGCTGCTTTTTTACAATTATTGTAGCATGTGCACTAAATAAATAAATTGTGTATTCTCGACTAAGCGAGGCACGCTTGCGCAGGCATGATCATGTTATGAGTACAAAATGTGATCAGTTAATGGTAACTAAACTACCGCCCCCATTCGGGCATGTGATTTATCTCTTAAGTGTATCGGTTTCTGGAGTCTAACTGATTCCTCCGCGTAATTTCCACATTATTTGGCTACGCTGTTTTATGCAACTGATTCCATGGTATTTCATTACCCAAATATCATGATACAACAAAGCCACCCGACTACATCTTGTTAAGGCCATTGTGTAATTAATAAAGGATTAATTGCACTTAGCATCTTCGATTACAAATAATCCTTTCACTCCATAGTGTACAAACCAGATGTACCGGTTCACCGTTCGCACAGCTTCCCACGTAACTCCTACTTTGTTGTGGAGTCATCCTACGGTTTTTTCTTACACGCGTTCATTCCCTCCATTTTGCAGCCTCTGACTATCCTATCTGTCGCTATCCCCAGTCACACAGGGTGCCTGTTTTCTGTGTGGTTTTGGTGTTTGTTCGTTCGTCATCAGCGGGCAGTGCGAGCGTGGAATGTTGACTTTTTCGTTGGACTAGCATTCTAGCAGATCTGGTAACCACTCCTAATCTCCCCATTCATTTACTATCCTCGTTGGTGGTGACTATGGTAGGTCGATCTTCAGTAATGGGTTGCTCCTACACCGTCTCCGTTGATCTGTGCGGGATTAGCTTTCACTTGGAGTGAGGTTGCTGTCAAATGATTCTTCCGCCAACATTGTCTGAGAGGAAACTACGACCACTGTTGAGTAACCGCACAATATACGTGAGTTGTGGGCTAACTGTGGTCCACTCAATCGGGTGCCACTCGATCCATCACCACTTCCAATTAATCTGCACCCAGTCGGTTTCACATCTGTAGCTAGTACTAAGATAGGTGCGTGTCGTGTTTCTCTGCGCCTCGTCTTCACGTGAACGTAGTTCACTCACGCACAGCAAGAATTATTGATTTCCTTAAAATTTGTGATTAGATTGCTGGTTCCAAATTGCCCACCGACGCGACGTATTGATACATGCCCCTATCTGTGTATATCCTTTCTTCCCCTCTGATTATAAACATTTTATTCTCGGCAACGTGAGGCACGCCTTTGCAAGCTTGAACATGTTATGATAGCAGTGTGAACAAAAATGTACAAGAATACAACATGCTTGTCATAACAGTAAATATGTGAGTGGGTGGGTGTGTAACTGTGCATAGTGTAGCTTGTGTTTGTATGTGTGCCGTTGTATTTGTGACTGTTTGACAACGTCCGTTTTGTAAGTATAGACGATTGATGTCCGTGGATTGGATGTACTTATCCAGCTATCCACAAGGCAGTGACTTTAGTTTGTGGCGATTCACATTCGCCGCGTCACAATGTTGATAAATGGAAATTTGTGATCTTTTATAGGGAGAACACTTTCCAGGCTAAAACCCACCACCTCCTGGACCACTGTCGCCTATTTGCTGGGACGGGTTACACCCGAACCACCCAGCTGGCACCACGAAAAGGTTGTTCGGCTAGACAGCCATTATCGAGTTTACGTAAGCACTAGTTCGCCTTGTTGCGCAGCTGTGTAGGGCATCCGATTTACTCTTGGTTGGATTGTGAACCAAACTGCTCGCGATGCATCATAGTCCAACTCCATCTTTTTCATGACATACGTGACAGTCGGTTTTCCACCGCAAGCACACATGCCTTCACTATCTGCGGCTGTCGGTTTGTTTCAGCCGGAACATGCTTGCGCCGGAGATACCAGTCAGGAACGGTGTACATTTTTGTGCCGAAACGCATGAGCATTGTTTTCCGACATTTTATCAGTTTTTCTAATGCTTTTCTTTCTTTTTTCTTTTTGGATAAATTGTTCCCTGCCTCTTAATCATGCACTCTAGAGTTATAAAGAAACACTGGCACATTTGTTGTGTACTGTGTATGGGAAAATAAGCTAGCCTCATCATCTATTTTTGCACTAATCTACTGCAATTCACCTGATTTTTTTCTCCGTTGACGACTACTGGGCTGCATGGCTATGGCGTTCAGTTGCTTTATCAGTGGAGACATTCTAGCTGCCTACCACTTGAAGCCAGAAACCTTTTTCTTATCTGTTACCATACTACCACAGTAAGCTGTGTCCTTTGGTTTCTTTCTCATTTTCCCAACGTTTCTCTTGCATGTATGACCAGTTCGTTCCATCGCTTCACATTATTATTTAGTGCCTCTTCGGTGCGTCTCCATCAATTTCACACCTATGCTTTTCTCCGTTCTACCAACTGCCCAGGAGCTACTCTTTGGACATCGAATTCTCGCCTGCTTCTGAATCGTTCAACTTTGGTCTGTGGGTCGGCAAAGCAAATATCAACGGAACGAAAACGCATTCCAAGCGAAGCAGTTCTCCGCTCATCTCACTCACTTCCATTCTCCCTTTCGCGTCCCTTAACAGATGGGCGTCTACATGATGTTTCTCACGAAACTCATGCATAAAAACCTTTAAAAACAACTTTTGACATTTTTTGAAGACGTTTGATTGGATGGAGATTGGGTGTTGCCCCCCCCCCGGAAACACTACACTCCATGATACGATTCCATCGTATTCGATCTCATCCGATAGAGATATTAAGTATCGAACGCTGGACCATTGAGCTGTTGTGACCGCTACTCTTTAGCCACCGGATCATGATGAGCAAAGTTTGCACTTTCTGTCATGTATAAATTGGCTGATTAGGCGCTTAGCTTGATTTGGTCTTCTCTAGAACTCTTTTGCAAATCTCTGATTCGGTGCTCCAGGCATAGGTACGATGAGGCGGAGAGGCACTTCGCTTTTGCGAACTTTAGTTAAACCGTGGTAGTACCGAATTTCATGGTTTCATCATTTTTATTCCAATTTATGTTTTGCTCCGTTTTCTTAGTTGTTGCAGAGTGCGCTTGATGTCGGGTTTACGTTGGTCGTCTTGTTAGTATCTTTGAGTGCATTGGAGCAATTGAACATTAATTTATGTTTGGTAAACCGGCATGTATGCAGGGTGTTAATGGGTGTGGTTACAACTTCTAGGTCTACACATGTGGACAACCTCGGGTGTGCATCTATAAGGCAACAGAGCAACGGCACATTGGACACAGGATTGTGTAAATGATTGTAGAGAACAATCGGATGGCTTGCACTTGTGTAAGTGTGGATTTTAACTTTAAAGTGCTTGTTATCCGGAACACACAGAGCATCTGTTCATGTGAAAAGATGTAGGGGGATTCGCGCGATATCCAAACCTATTTTTGACGGCTAAGGTGGGCCACAAACAACTGAGTTCGAAAGGGGGTTCCAGGATTGGAATATACTGGTAGGGAGAAGTAAGTTCGTCGACAATTTATTGCTGACTTCATCCTATTGCCTCTCATGTTGATCTTCGGGCTGCGTTTCAAGTGCTGGTATACTTGGCTTTGGTTCTTCAGTATTTGGTTAGTAGTATAATGTCTTCACGTAGCCGCCGGTAGCGTCCAGTGAACACCGAATTTCTTTGTTGGCACGGAAGGTGGCGCAAATGTTTTCTGTTTTTCGCTGCTCGATGTGGGTTCTCGAGCGCTGCGAGGCCACGCTTTAAATAGTTTGCACTTGTCTGCATAGCGCATTCCACGATTGGACGAACGTATGCATTAAGCATAAGAGAGAAGCTGAATCCAAACTTCCGGGTGCCCTTTGCAAGAAACCAACATGCTAGTTATCTCTTTCTGAAGCGTACCCAGACTGTCTGGAGCAACCGGGGTCGTCATGTACGAGCACACCGAGGTCTCGCTTCTGAGAGTTTGGTCTACAGACAATGCGCCCCAAACCTGCTGAAGCAGACGTGTCGATGGCGATTGTATGAAATGTGGCCTTTGTCCAACTTCAATGGTAGCGCGTTCCTCACTGACCAGTTCCAGACTTTATCAGAGTTGCGCTGGAGGATACCCTGGTTCTCCAGTTTTTGATCACGCGCCAAACTTTAATGTCGTTTACGAAGAGTAAAAATGTTGCAGTGATAACTCTCGCTAAATCGTTACTGAAGACTAAGAACAAGCGAGGCCTGAGTACCGAACCCAGTGGTCTACCACATTCCAATCGAATTCTGTCAGGCAAATTGTTCGTACTCAAACCTCCAGTTGCGGTTTGCGGATTAAGCTACCGTTTCATCCGAGTACCGAAACTCCGATGTCATATGTCTGAAGCTTTTGGAGCTGGATACGATAATCCAAACGATCAAACGCTTTTGAAAACTTTTATTAGATGACATCAGCTGCTTCTTTCCATTTGGCCAGTTCATCGGGTTTCAGTACGCCGTCGGGCAGGCGACTCAACTTAGAGCGTCGGCGACTCCATTCGCTTTCCCAGGTACATTTGGCCGAAAGTAGTCATGCCCAGCGTCGCATGCGAAGAGATACCAACTGTTTAATGCGTTTTTCTCGCCGATCAAAGTTACTAACTGTTTGTGGTCCGTAGAAATTTCGAACGTTTTTTTACAGGTATTGGTGAAATTTCTTGAACCCACACCTAACCTGCAAAGCTTCCTTGTCTAGTTGAGCGTATTTTCCTTCTGCTTCTGCCAAGTCCCTGGAAGCAAATGTATGGGTCGTTCTGTCACGTCTTCCATTTTTTGAAATAGTATTGCTCCAAGTCCGTGGGTAACCCATCGCACCGGAAAGTGATCGGCCTCTTTTTCTCAGAGTGTCAGCAAATCCGCCTTACATATGGCCAGATTGACAGTAGCCTAAGCCTTTTGTTGTTCTGGTAACCACAACTATCGGGTGTTCTTACGTATCAGTGCATACAAAGGCGTGAGAGTAGTAGATAAGTTGGATACCAAACGGCTATAATACGTCTCCATCTTAAGAAACGATTGCAGTTTGAGCTATCGACGAGTTCAGAATGCGTATACTTTTCTCCCTTAACGGATGTTCAAACAAAACCCCAGCCACTCATCGCTATCGGAAAAAATAATTAGCTTCCTTTAGTTTAAGTCTGCTGTCTTGCAGGCGCTTCATGACTGTATTGAAGGCCATCAGGTGTTCATAATCTGTACAGCCAGTAACCAAGACATCATATAAGTACGCATACACTCCTGTTATGCCCTTTAATAGTTTGTCTCTAATCCTTTCATAAAAGATTGCCGGCGCGGAGTGTATTCCAAACAGTAAGCGGTTATAGACAAACAACGTGTGATGATTGTACCTACAATACTCACTGACTGATTATCGTTATTCTTTTTCACTTAGAACACACCCGCGAATTTCAAATTCCAATTCGGGTGTCCTTACTGTTGTAGCGTGCAGTGCTCTTAGTAGGAGCAGATAAGACCCCGTGCGTCTGGATCGAACTTAATGAGACCGGGGTGGCTGCACGTCACGCGCGTGTGTTGAATCGGGATTCAGGATGCTCCGCGTTCGCCACCAGTAGCCAATGTAGCTGAAAAGAAAACCAGATACTTCCTAGGGGGGTTGGATGGTTTTTTGACAACCATATTGTAAGAGACTGAGCTAGATGGAAGAGCTGGATCAATAGTGCTGTAAGCGAGAATAGGGGAGCAGACGGAAGAAGAACCAGCGATAGTTACCCAACAAGGAAGCAGCCATCTCTTACTTTTCAGAATGCAGCAAGCATACTTCCAAACCCGCTACACTACCACCTACGTTAGAAAGAGCTGTCCTCAGATATTGCGAGAACACCCACTGGTTTCAACTTGATGCCGTGCAGAAATGTGCAAATTCCACAACAAGCAGTTTCGTCGCAGGAAAGCTAGTGACTGCCGCGAGGGCTGCAATCCAGCTAGGAACACTGCTGTCGGGATCAAGCAGGGCAACCGAACATGCGGTATGCGTTCGTCAAGCGTATCTAAAAGGAGACATCCCATCTCCGTCGCCATTTATGTAACGTGCAATGCTCCTAGTAAGAGCAGGTAAGACCCAGTGGGTCGGGATCGAACTCAGTGAGGTCGAGATGGCTGTACGTCACACGCGTGTGTTGAATCGGGATTCAGGATGCCACTGCGATCGTCACCAGAAACCGATGTAGCTGCAAAGAAATGCAGATATTTCGTATCTGGTTGGGTGGTATTATGACAACCACCCAGTAAGAGACCGAGCCAGATGGAAGACCTGGATCAACTATTGTAAGCGAGAAACGCGGAACAACTAGAAGAAGGAACAGCGACAGTTGCCTAATAAAGAAGAAGCGAGCTCTTACTTTTCAGAGTGAAGAAAGGCTGCCTTCCAATACGCTATACTGTAACAGATCCGCAACCGTTCGTATAACACGCTTTTCGATCGACATACTAGGTTCTTCCGTTAAAAGACTATTTAAGCCACTCAATTACATGGGTCAACGACGGCATCAATTATTGGTAAAGGCCCTCACGTTATTTTTTACCCCTTTACTTCCCGGTCTTTACCGTGGCACTTTGACCTTGAATATCTATCTAGCTGATGTATCTCACTACTTGCTTGCTAGATAACGATATTCACATCTTCATATTAACCCCGGTCTCATACTAGGTGGCTGTGATAACTTTATCCAGCCGTCTACGGAATATTTGTTTTGCCTTCCAGCTCCACAGGTATATTACGACTCTATTGAACGCGGAGGAACTCGGAATCCTCGGCCGGGCGCATACTTCACTTACTAAGAGTCTATAGTAGCTTGCTTGAATTCTGTTTGATGGTGCCTGGGATACTAGTCTTTGAGCAATGACACGCAAAAACGTGTCAAATACGGGATGGAGGCAACTGGACACAGTGTATATTGTGCAGGCTACAAAAATGGGAAACGAATCAACAGGAGCGAGAAACGCTACAGCGAGGTACTCACCAAAGCAATTTGTGACCATGGGAGTACCGGCAATAAAACAATGAACGTTTTGAAGATAAAAACTGTGATAAAACCCAATATTACAAAATACCGAACGAGGGTTTTCAGATGCAATACAAGGGTCACCCTCTAGAATGCTGAAAGATGGAAGCCTTCGATGGAGCTATTATTGGGGGAAAACAGGAGGTGAGGATCGGTGCGAATAGTAGCATGGGCTTAAACACGGGCTTCTAAGATGGGGCCGTTTTTCGGAATTAGCTGTGTTCAGGGTTTTGTTATTTATTTACGAGGATGGTATGGACCAGAGTGCATCAGTGGTGGGCAGTTGGGGCGGGCTCGTCGGACTGGAAATAAAAGTGGCTATTCCAGAGAAAAACCGACAGGAGATTTCCTCCGCTACATAACCGACGGTGCGCTGGGACGTGTCACTCCCCACCGCACTCAAGTCCACAGTCCTTGCTCAACGAAGAAATCTGGGCGTCTTCGTGGGCAAGGCGTACCCAGACGATTAGGGAACAATCCTGGCGTGGCCATCCGCGCTCCGGGGGCGACTGACATCCTTGGGTAAAGAAGGGGCGTTGAGCCGGCTGGCGATTTACTCGGGGTTGCGGTTAGCCGGTTGGCAAGTCACTCGATGGTTTCCTTGGCAATTCCGATGGTTGAGTTTTTGGAAGGTAGATCTCAGAGGGGTGGGAAAGGGTCGGG